AAAAAACACACTTTACTTTTAATGTAAGTCAGTGGAACCGGACATTTTTCCAAGTCATTTTAGGCCGTTTCTTTTGGTCCATTCGTCTTGAAATTTACATACAATATAAAGGATAACAGGTGTTTTCAAATTATGTCAAAAACTGAAAGCGCTAAAAATGGAGATACAAGGCTTCGTTCCGACAGCAGAGATATATTATTAATAAAGTAAGAATGTCAGTGCAGCTCCCCCCAGTCATAGTTTTTATGTGGTGACATAACTGTAAGGCTGACTGGTATGAACAAAACAATTAAGCAATGTTATAGAGGGTAGAGAGGAGAGAGGAGGTTCTTTGGTATGATTTTCTGAATGTTGAGGGGAAAACTTACAGTTATTCAAGTGCAGAATAGAATGCAAAATCAAGGAAAACAGAGTGCTGCACAGGCTCAGCACACTGCACATAATGCTAATAGTTCTGTTACTATAGACAGCTCCACTGTTGATGAGATACAAAAGAAAAAATATATTCATTACAGGGTAATAGTTACATCTCTCACCATGTAATGGAATTACATGTTGAAAATCTAACTGCTCATTACTTTAATTTTACATTACATTACTCTGTACCGAATTATCTCTCTATACTGGCAGAAAGATTTGCTTTTTTCAAGTATTATTTCTTAAAACAAAATGGATCCACCAATATAGTAAATAATTAAACACTTTTAAACACAAGTTTAAAACGTCAAAAATATATATATATATATATTTTTTTTGTTTAGTATTATTTTGGAAGAGTTGTACTTTACTGAAGTATTATTAAAAGTGAATATTTGGACTCTTACTCAATTACATTTCCAGAAGAAGAAAACAACTTTTTAATCCTTACATTTTCATTTAGATCTTCAATGTACTTGTTAATAATCTCAAAGGACAGGACATTTTTTCTCTCACCAATGAGTCCAATTTCTTCTGCACTTGAGATCCTTATCGTTTATTTTTACTTTAATATACTTGTGTGATTATATGTAGATACATTTCAACTTTCACTCTATGTTTTTGGCTCCATATTGCCAGTTCAAACTAAGAAAGATTTTGCCAAAGTACTCAATTACTTTACTTTTTCCATCTCTGCTCTCAACAAAGTTGATGCAGCTAATGAACTACACTGACAGTCAAAAAGAACTGCTCACATGCATACACGTCATAACTGTTAGTAACAGTTCACTTAAAGGAGGAAATCCACCACAAATGACAGATAATCCAACAAGACAATGCAAGATAGACATTGTTCATGAAGTGACGTTTGAGCGCAACTTAAAATCCTCTGAGATTTTGTGGGGCTGTGTTGGGAAACGTGTGGAGAAGACACATCCAACCACTATGAATGGTCTGTGGACAGAAGTAAATGTGAAAGAAGCTGCTCCATTTCTAAAGTCTTCTTAAAAACTTTAGGAAAGTTTGACACAGCAGTGACAAAGCAGTGGATACACTTCAGTGTATGACATATGCCTTGATCCCACTGTAAACAGTGAAAGGTCAACTCCACTTAAAATATGAGGTTAACTTATTACACAGCTTTTTTTTAGGTAACTCGACATTAGAGTTCACTAGAATTCACCTTAGTTTAGTCAACGGTTTGCAAGTTCTCATAACTCATATTTAGAATAGCATTTCAGTTAAACAATCAAAAATATAATGTTTAGTTCATTTCACTAGCTCTTCATAACCCAATCCCAACAGACATTTTCTACCCCTTGGGCTTTGCTTGGGGTGAAAGCTTGGGCATTTGCTCCACTCATGGGCCCTTAAAGTTACTTAAGTTTGTTGTTTCATCTTTAAAAAGTCAAAAAAAGTTTTTTATTTTTTTTTTTTACACAAGACATTGTAGCACACGTTGTTGTTCTGTCATTATGTTTAATTAACTCTCTTTTAGATCAGCAAAAAATAAATTAAATGGCAAAAATGGATATTTAAGAAGTGTTTTATATTGTCAGTTTGAGTTTTTGATCTGTACAGTTATCTTGGACTAAGTTAACATTTTAACTCAAACTTTTTTATTCTTTGTAACAAACAATTGTTATATAGGCCAACAAATTTAAATTGAACGTTTTCCCAGTACTATAACAAGCCCCTGCTGAGGTGAACTGACTGTGGTAGAGCTGAAAAAAATACTACAGTCTGTAAGCCAGTGATACTCTACAGAGCCAGGCCTGAGAACCTCTGAGCTACAGTAATGCATAATGGAAATAACCCACAAGGATAGGAATACAAACACTGTGTGTGTCTGTATGTTTGTGTGTGTGTAATCTGGTGTCAGAAACTCGGAGACGCTGGGATCCCACAGCTGGAGTCCACTTGGCCCCTCCAGCGTGCACATTCGTCCCATAGCACACATTCCTCCCTACTTAAAGGTGAACAAGCGCTTCTAATGAGTCATACTGAATGACATTAAATGCTGTTCTCCTTTACACTGTGGCAGCGTGAACAAAATCAGTTTATGGTCTTGAGTTATCAGTTCATAACTTGCACAAATCAAAGCAAGCAAGGCTGAAGAGCAACGTTGAACCAGAACAGGTGAGGCTGCAGACATGGGAAAAAGCTACAGCAGTTAAAGCACTGATTAGTCAGATTACAACACTGACTGGATGTTGATGTGTTAGATTTTAGAGCATTGTTGGCATCGTTAAGTGCTAATTCAGCAGGAAAGTAGAGCTTAGCCGGTGAACTACACTAGAAAACCGCCTTAAACATTGAAAACTCATTGTTTAGGCCCTAAACTCCTAAAAATAAAGGTTTCTAAATGCACTATTAAAATGATGGTGCTTCAAGAGTTCTTTGGTAAAGACAATGGTTCTCTACACAGTCATGAACCCTCAAAGAACCATCTGCAGATTCTTCAAGTGTTTTAAAATGGTTCTATATAGCACTAAAAAGGGTTCTTCCATTGTTATGATGTCAAGCTTGTAACAATAGAAAAACCCTTGTTGGTGCTCAATTGAACCCATTTTAAAAAAAGGTTCTATATAGAACCATCTTCAACACGTTCTCCATCAATCTGAAAAACCATTTCACCATGCAAATGGTTCCTCCAGAGTTCATGGATCTGTGTAGAACCATTGTCTTTACTAAAGAACCCTTAAAGAACCATCTTTTTATTACAAAACTTCCTACAAAAGGCTCTTTAAAGAACCATCCATTCAAAGGTTCTTTAAGGAAACATTTTTTCCTCTATGGCAAAGAATCAGCTACTCAAGACCAGTTTAATAATGATGAGACTCTATTCCTGAGCCTATTGTTCAGAGTATTTTGCTCGGAAAGGCATGTAATGTGAAGTTCTTGTGGAGCTAAAAGCAGAGCCAGACGAACTAAGCCCGCAGAACCGTTGCTGGCCGCAGCGCCGCTCACTCCGGCGCGGTCAAATTGCTCCAAGCTGCTCCGCGGGATCAAGGTGGAGAGGATGGCGGAGCAGATCGAGGCTCCCAGATTAGGCTCCTTTTGTGTCGGAGAACAAGGCACTCTGTTCTTTTTGCGCGCTCGTGCTGCAAGCAACATGTGGAAGTCATTGTGGACGAGCGGGCTGAGCGAGGGGGCGCTGCAGGGCGGATTCCTTCAGTGAGGCGAGTTGAGGGGGTGGGTGTTAGAGGGGGAAACATGACGGGGGTTGGAGTCTGGCCCCGGGGGTCTGGGTCAGTCAGCTGGGCAATGAGGGCTCAGCGGAGAGGAGTCGGGGGAGAGGTGTCTGAGGGGCTCTGGAGGGGGGTGACTTTGGAACTTCTACAACTTTAGAGGTCATCCAGCTGAAAGAAGAGACAACTGAGCTGCGGCTGTGTTATTATAACAATCGTATTATGTGAAGAGCTTATGAGACAAAACTGGAGGGGTGGGGTAAGAAAAGGAGGATAGAACGGCAAAGAAAAAAGAAAGAAACAGTGGTATTAGAGAGAGACAGAATGGGGTAAAACGAGATTTTTTGTAGGAAAAATGTATTAGACAGACGTGGGCAAAGAGAGAGAGAGAGGAGAAGGAGAAGGGGAAGGAGTCATAGAATAGACGAGAGAAGGACAGAGAGATAAAAAAAGAGAATAAATAATGATAAAGAGGGAATGAGAGAATAACAGAATATGAGAGAACGAGTGAAAGTGAGAGAGAAACAGAGAAAGAGTATATGAAGGAAATGATCTATTAGACAAAAGAGAAAGGAGAGAGAGTAAAGGTGAGAAAAGGTGAGGAAGAGGGAAACAGAATGGGAGAGAACGAGAGAAATTTCGAGAGACACAGAAAGAAAGAGACGGAGTAGATGAAGGAAAGAATATATTAGACATAAAGAGACAGGAGAGGAGGAGAAGAGAAAAAAGAAAAAAATGTGTGTGTGTGTGTGTGTGTGTGTGTGAGAGAGAGAGAGAGAGAGAGGGAAGGCTGAGTCAGAAGGGGACACCGTGAGGCCGTTTGTGGTGTTAGAGCGCCCTCTGTGTGGAAAATGAAGTGCAGATGTTCATTCTGGTTACTCAGTTCTGTACAGTCCTGCAGTAACTCCAGCACTAATTAATCCCCTTTCACTACATTATTACACAAATTAGCTTCATTAAAAACAAACTTCAGCTTACAGCACGCGCAGCAGATCTGCTGTACTTGCTACTGACACAGACAGTAACGCTTTGCAGATAAACCTAGTATGATAAACACTTCGTGGATACTGCCTAAGACCTAATCTGTAGTAGAAGTAAACGTAGCAGCTGTAAATAATATTTCCATCCCTGGAAAAGAGAACTTCTTTAATGTCTGATGTAGATGTAACTTTCTTTAATGTCTTTCACATTACAAAAACATTTCTAATATGACTCTCCCGAAACTCATTTTATGCAAAATGCTTCCAGAAAAAATCATACGAGTCTCTTTTCTTCCCTTTTCTATGGGAAACCGAGTTGAGAAGGATCTGAACACTGGGACTTTTATTTTGAAAGGAGGGGGGGGCGCTTCCTCAGAGCTATTTACTCAGAGCCAGATGATTATTGGTCGGGGATGGATGGAGTGTAAGAGTGAGGCAGAGTTAGAGCGCTGCGCTGCAGGAGCGCTGAGGAGAACAGCAGAGGAGGAGCGCGGAGTGGAGGAGACTCAGAGAGGACACTAACACACACACACACTTAGACACACACACACGCAGGAGTGGAGCTGGACGACTGAGGACACTCACTGGACTACTTTACTGGAGCTATTCAACTCGGTCTTTTTTCTTTTGTCAAGTGGGAACAACAAAGGGATTTTGAAAAGGTATTGTGTGAGTAAATTGGTTTAGTGAGACTAATTGGCTTCTTTTCAAGAGCAGACAGGATAGAAACATTTTAATTAGGCTAATTAGTTATTAAGGACAACATCCTCTTTCTGTTTTTTGGTCTAGATAATAGCTTTTTTGTGTTTTTATAAACACAAATCAGCTGGTTTCATTCAGCTTTTCACTCTGAACACAGATTAACTGAGTTTATTCTACTGTAGAGAGTTTTTTTTTTCTTTTTTACATTACAGATACGATATGAGCGTTTCTTTTCTTTTCCCTTTTTATCCTCTTTTTACTTTTTTTCACATTACAGATAGGATACAGTACTGGATTTTTTTTCCCTTTTTGCATTGCAGACAGGATAAGGCCGTTTTAATCAGGCTAATTAGTAAGGAAAAACAGGACCCTCGGGATTACTGAGCATTTCCTCGACCAAAGCCCATCATTAGATTCAATTCAAGGCGACTTCGTGCTTTTTTCACTCCTCTGCGGCGGCTCGATCGCTTTGACCCACGGACCGGAGGATTTTTGCCCCATCTCGCAGTTTGATTTGCGCGCAAAACTTTGTGCAGCGCAGAGCGGATTACACGGCTGCTCGGAGCTCCACCATATGGCCTGCAGTCCGAACTAATGACAAACACATTTTCCTCAGAGCGGATTCCTGCACAGGGTCGCTTTCTCGCGCTGAGGAGGAAAACCAAGCGGAATATCGAGCATCTGGATTAATTGTGTGTTGTTTTCACCTAAAGGGAAAACAGAGCGCATCGGCGCAGAAGCGCGTTTTGGATGCGCAAAGTCACCGCAGCGCTGGAGCACTCGGGGGGTGCGGCTGCGCGACTTTCTCCTGTTTTCTATTCCCATGGAAATTCATTTGTGCGCGCGTGGGACGCGACTGGAGCGGGACGGGTGACGCAGCGAGCCCCTGCGCGCTCAGCTGTTGCCCCAACGGTGGCACATCCGCAGCGTTTGGCGCGCGGGAGCGCATCTGTGTGCTGTGTGTGGGAGGAGAGCGAGCGAGAGAGAGAGAGAGAGAGAGAGAGAGAGAGAGGGTTGGGGGTTCAACCCCAACCTGCGCACCTCTCCTGAGCTGGTTAGGAGTGTGTGTGTGTGTGTGTGTGTGTGTGTGTGTGTGTGAGAGAGAGAGAGAGAGAGAGAGAGAGAGAGAGAGAGAGAGAGATGCACTCTTAAAAAAGATGGTTCTTTAGGTTTTTCAGTAAAAGAAATGGTTCTGCTTAGATCCATGAGTTCTCTATAGAACCATTTCACGCTTGGTTCTTTGCAGGGTGAAATGGTTCTACAGATTGATGGAGAATGTGGTGTACATTTAAAAAAAATGTTGGTTTTTCAAGGGTTCTTTAGTAAAGGGAATGGTTCCTTATAGGACCATGAACACTCGAAGAGCCATTTGCATGCTTAAATGGTTCTTTGCAGGATTAAAAAGGTTCTTCAGATTGATATAGAATGTTTTGTATGTGGCACAAAAAATACAAGATACAAGCTTGACATCGTAACAATAGAAGAACCATGTATGGTTCTATGCAGAACCCATTTCTATCAGTCCATGCAAAGAACCATTTAAGCTTGGAATGGTTCTATATAGGACTCATAGTTCTAAACAGAGCCATTCCCGTTTATAAAGAACCCTTGAAGAACCATCGTTTTGAAGAGTGTGTGAAACGGAAAGCTCTCTTTGGGTTCCCAGGCGGGACGCTGCAGCAGCAGAGAGGGCATAATTACAGCCCCTCTCTGCAGGGGTAATTGGCCAGGGGTGATTACCCCCCGTCCGCGCGCACACAGGAGAGCTCGAGCAAACGGCACAGTGGCGTCTGGAGGCAGTAAAGAAAAAGAGGAGGTGGACCCCCGCGCCCCCTCCAAGTCTCTTTACTGCTTTACCCCAAAACTTTGAAGTTGACGAAGAATTTAGGTCCAGCGCAAAACGGCGAGCCCCGCGGTGCCTGTGCGGTACAGCAGAGTACAGAGCGCTCTCTTCAGCTGTACGGCGACTTAATGCCATAAGACAGTCGTGGACGCTTGTGGAGCACCGCGGGGCTGTGTTTCATCTCAGGAGCCCAGATAAGGAGCGCGCGCCCCGTCACACACCGCAGCACAGACGGGTCTGTCTGCAGGAGCTGTTTAGATAACGAGAGGAGAGATAGAGGCGACCGAACGCTTTTGGAAACATTGCTATCTCTCATTTTCCTCATGTGCTCTGCTAAACCATCCTCAGAGACTCCACATTCAAAAACCCCGCAGAGCAAGAAATGTTTCCGAAGAGAAAACTTCATGAAAATGGAATTTCTCCGCGTTATATTTCATTGCATGGGAAACTGACCTCAAACATCGCTGACGAAACTGCAGAAAACTGTTGAAACCACAGCTGTGAATGTGTGGACTTCTTTGAAAAGTCTGAGTAAGTCAGAAAGCAAACAATAAAACTTTTGGACCGCTCCAAACTCCGGCCTATTGTCCTCAGACACGGCGGCGGTGAGCTGGCCGCTCTGTTAAACCCTGTACTGTGTCGCCCCCTAGTGGCCGCAGCAGGATTATCTGAGCTCACCTCCGCTCTTTGGCGAATTGGCTTCGGGTTACTGATTCTGCCGCGTCCAGCGTGTTTATGGACATGCCTGAGGACAGAGCTCGTCCAAACGTGAACTTTGCTGCCGATGATTCAGTGCAGCTTTTACTACAGCTGATCTAATAATACAGGGAATCCCGGCTCACTCAGAGAGAGGACCAGGTGTTCTGTGTGAAGGGAGTAGAATAAACACAGCGGACTGCATGTGTTAGACAGACTCATCTGTCCTGGCGAAACAAACAGCTCAGTCGAAATTTGCAGAAGCATAACACAGCTTTCCTTTTTCATTTCAGCTGAACTCGAGCTGACGGACCATGGGGACTGTGAAGACACATCTCCTTCTGGGGGTTGTCTTAGTAGGCATATTGGCAGGTAAGGAAACGAAAGAAAGAAAGAAAGAAAGAAAGAAAGAAAGAAAGAAAGAAAGAAGAACGAAAAAAAGAAAGAACCCGAGCTGAGGGACTGTGAAGACATCTGGGGGTTGTCTCAGTAGGCATATTGGCAGGTAAAGAAAGAAAGAAAGAAAGAAAGAAAGAAGCACAAAGGAAGGCTAAAAAAGAAAAAAGAAAGAAAGAAAGAAAGAAAGAAAAGAAAAGGAAAAGAAAAAAGAACGAGCGAACGTAAGAAAGAAACAAATAAATAAATAAAGAATACAAAAGACGACATCTCAAGGGGAATTCCACCCTTTTTTTCTAAATTTCTGCCTAATTAAATAATAAATAGGTTTGATGGGAAATGCTCCGTTCTTGAGAAACTTGAGTCAGAACTGTGATAAAAACCAGACGTCTGAAGAGTGTAGCGCCTCTTAAAGCTCCCTCACAGAAAGTTAGTACACCAATGTCAATGTTTTACGATAGTCCTGAGATAAAGTTTTGGCTTAAAACATATTTTAAAAATACATTCACAAACTCAGAAGACGCGTGTAGGTTCACTGGTGGTTTTCATTAGGAAATAAATAGGGTGTGTGTACTGTACACATCAGGACTCCTGGTTCCCATCATCACCACTCTAAAGAAATCTCTTCTCTACAATGAACCGTTTCACATCAAACCACTCTGAATGACGTTGCTTACATCTCAACGTCTGGATTGTGAAGAAAGTTTGAAAATGGGTGGAATTCCCCTTCAAAAACCTATTTAAAAGGAAGGAAAATAAAATGAAGAATAAAAGAAAAAAAAAACAAAAATGAAAAAAGGAAAAGGGAAAGAAAATGAATGTGAAAAGAAAGTTAAAATAAATGAAATGAACGAATAACAACAAAATAAAGAAATAAAGAAAGAAGTAAAGAAAGAAAGAAAGAAAGAAAAAAAAGAATGAAAGAATGCTGGTTTATTTGCAGTCAATATTCTTTTCTATTGCCCGACAAAGCGCTCAGCTGAACGCTGTGTGTGCTCTGTGTGCAGATGCGTGGAGGGTCGTGGGTGGTCTTCCTCCACCGACCATCGTTTCTGATCAAACTCAGTTCTTGTTAGAGCTGCACTCGGTCTTCAATATTAGCTGTACGGGGAAGCAGAGCGTGTTTTGGGAAGAGCCGTTACCGAAGAACACGCACGTGCTGCCGGGATACTACACGGCAACGCTGCTGATAGAGGACGCCGCGGCTTTCCACACCGGACCTTACCTATGTGTCTATGAGGAAGAGGAGAGCGACCCCGCCAGCATCTACATCTTTGTACCAGGCAAGTACACCAGCGAATATTGTACTAATCATCTTCAGCAAAGAGTTTAAATCAGGTAATTTAGTGTGTTTCCCCTTGTATTTTCATTAGTACCACCAATGCCACACAGTACTCTCTGAGCAGTTGTGCTATTAGGCCTCTTGTCTTTTACAGTAAGACCTGATTAAGAGTGCAGCACTGTGTTCCTGTAAGTCGCCAGGGTCTATTTTACTGCTCCGCGCTCGTTTGAATGTCATCACCTCCCACTTTCCTGCCTCTCTGGAGTAGGAAGACAGTACATTTAATTCAGTACAGCATGAGGCTAAGCTATGAGGCTAATGGTTAGGCTAAGCAATAATTTTATGCTGAACATTTTTGGTTAGTAGGCCTGCTTTGAACATTCATAATTCATATAATGACCCAGGTTTGTCACGTTGTTCAAGTGTATTAGTGTTTTTTATGCTTGTGGTTGTAGGAGGGAATTTTGAGCCTGAAATCTAACCCAATGGAAGCCAATGGGAGGTTATTTCTGTTTTGTGTCTTCATTTTGAAGCAGATATTCGACCAAAAAAAGCCACTAAAATTTCTTAAAGCTGGAAAAAAATATTGCCACTTCTATAGTCATTTGGACATAGTCACTGTACTTTACACTGTGTGAAAATTTTAGGTTAATGGGCCAATAAAAAGGCTCCAAAATAGCTTGAAATACAACCTCTTTACGTTAATTAACGTTACAAATTAAGAATGTTTTTTAACTCCTCTTGTTACTACTTTGGAGATGTATATTTTTCTTTGCACAGTGATGATAAGCTTTCACATAAAGTGGTGGTCTTTTATTTAAGTCACATGTGAAATAGACCCTGATTAATATGTTAACCCTGCTGTTTAACCTATGTGTGCTTGAGTGTAATGTCCCGTCTCCTTCACCCCTCAGATCCTGAGGTTCCATTCGTGCCAGAGGAGCCTTACACTCATCATGCTGAAGCCTGGCAGTCCCTCATTCCGTGTCGTGTTACGGACCCAGAGTCCAGCGTGCTTCTCCGGACCCAGCCGAGTGGACACGAGATCCAGGCCTTTTATGAGCCCAGTCATGGTTTCAATGGCCTCTTTTCTCCTGGACTGTATGTGTGTGAGACTGTTGTGAATGGCGAGACAGTCCAGAGTGCAGTGTACTCGGTGGCAGATGAGTCTGGTAAGCCTAATTCCATGTCAAATAAGTGATGAACAGTTGGTTTAAATGCTCATTTGACAGAATCCAACTGTGCCTGTGTTTGCTCCTTGCAGGTATGAAGTTCAGTGTGGAACTGAGAGTCAGTCAGCAGGAAGTAAAAGAAGGAGGCGCTTTCAACCTCACCTGCGAGACCCCACCTGGGGCTAAGTTTGTCCAGCAGTGGCTGCACACCAGCAAACAGGTGAAGACCTCGCTTTGTATCTGTCTCACGCTTATAAATGAAGGTGTCAAAAGGGTTTATGGAGTGATGCTATAGATGAACCACTTTATGTTGCCTTTCAGTGGAAAATATCTTTTTAAGTTATGGTTCCTTAAAGAACCATTCTTGCAAATGAAATGTGAAAAAGAAACGTTTAATGTTTCTTTTAGTGAAATATTTTTCATAGAACTACATATCCAAGCCAAGAACCATTAAGGAACCATTATTTTAACTGTGTATAGAACCTTTACATACGTAGAGGTTGTTTAACCCCTTAAATTCCCAGGGGTATTCCACTGTAAGGCTTATTACATGGAAAACAGTACAAAATGAATGCAAAATCCAAAAGTGGTTCTTCCATTGCATTCATTCAATAACTCTTTTGTAACGTTTATTTTTAAGATTCAGTCTCATGACTCTATGCTTTCTCCTTCATTAATCTACTGCATGCATATTGGTTGCCAAACCAAAGCTCTCATTGGATTGACTGAAGCAGAAGTGCCTTCTGATGCCATGACTTATGATCTCTCTGAATAACGTGGGAAGCGACAGTATGTGTCCATTTTACAAATGTTTAAAATGGAGGGTGACCCTTGAAACAAGAAAGATGCTTAACGACGGCGCAGTTTGATCTTTTTGACCTCTCTGACGTGTGGATGTCCAAGACAGATGTTGTGAGTGGGAAACTAAGCGATGTTTGCGTAGAAAAGATAAGAAAGCATGCGGGTGCATTCCCAGGGTGATCTATGTCTTACAGTGTGCGTTTTTCTGGTGTGTATGCATGTGCAAGGCCAAAAAGTGCGTGGCTGTATGTCTCTGAAAGATCAAAGGAGAGTTGTTACTGCTGACCATTTGCTCAAGAGTGTTTACGAGTGGCTTTGCCGGTGTGCAGGGTTTAATGTGTGTCCACAAACCAGTGCAGCTTTTTGAACAATATAGTATCAGAAGCGTCACTTCTCCATGCTCTCATGTCCAGTTGGATTTATTTTGTTGTCACTACTCATGGCATCTATATGCTTAAATATAAAGATTTAAAATGGTATGGAGGCCTTTTCTTCTAGGATCGATCTAAAACAGGGTCCTTTGGATGCTCTCAACTCTCTGCTGAGATTTGCAGCTTCTTTCCAGCCTCCTATAAAGAAGAATTTATCTCTGCTGAAAGATAAATGCTCTACCAAATGCCATATGCTGAAGCCAGAGCCAGATCTGGAGAAGATAGACAGAGAGAAGAACTAAAGCAGATCTTTTGGGCTGAATATTTTGCAAAGAAAGAGGCGCACGATAAAGAGAGGGAGCAATAAAGGATATGTTCAGTCCATAGGCACAGTTGTACACTTCCTATCAAAAGTCTGTGGACACCTAGCTTTTCAATGTGTTTGAGTACAGATGATCAAATTTTTGTTGTCACATATTGAAGACAAACAAGGTTTTAAACAAGTTGTACCTTGGGAGTAATGTCATTTTCCGCACGTCAGCACTCATCAGCACTCATACCTTACAGATTAACCCACCTTTGGGCCAAAAGTCATTGAATATGTGCTTTTGACAATAGTTTGTAAAAAAAAAGCTCAAATTATTATCTTGACAGAACCCATATACCAAAGAATTACTAAAGAGCTGTTTATTTAAAATGGGGGCTTTTCTTAAAATGTCAATATAATCAAATCATTAAGGTGTAAACCATGTCATATACAGTGATTTAATGTGAAATGCAACCTTCTGGAGAAACTTGTGAAGTCAGCATTGTTCACAGCAGTGGTGATCGGAACCAGACACCTGAAGCATTTAATGCCTCTAAAAGCTAGGCTCACAGAACGCTATTACAGGAAATGGTTATACATACACCGCCTAGTGCCTGAGACATTGTTTTACTGCAGATTTTAATTAATGTTTTGGCTTAAACCTTATTTTGTAATCTATTCATGGCGGAGAGGTACATGCATGGGCTTTCTAAGGAAAGATAGCAATTCACCATTTCACATTAAACCACTCTATATTACTTTGTTTACTTCTAAATATTTGAATTATGTGGATTTTAAATGGCCAGCGCCCACCAGCCATTTTAAATGGCCAGCGCCCACCAGCAGGCCCAAAGTTTTATTACACACTTCTATAACCTAAGACTAGCTCAGTCAGTTTGTATTAAAGTCCCTGTAGTTACTGATTAATACGCCTTATTCGTAATCCTGGGATTTTAAGGGGTTACAGCATTTCTCACTTAACTGAAAAATAATTGTGAAAGCAATAAAATTTCAAAAGAAGGCAAGGTGTCCCCACATTTTTGACAATGTGATTTGTTTTGGTGTAACCTCTCTCTCTCTCTCTCTCTCTCTCTCTCTCTCTCTCTCTCTCTCTCTCTCTGCTCCCCAGGCTGTAGGTGCTGTCCAGATGAAGCAGACGTTTCCAGACAAGGTTTTGTACATCCTCAGTATCCCGCATGCCTCGGTAGCTGACTCTGGCTACTACGAGTGCTCTGTCACTGAGCAGTTCGGTGGCCAGACCAAGTCCTCCAGTGTGACCGTCACTGTCCATGGTAACAATATCCCTCTCACTCCATCACAAAATACCCCTAAATTTACTGTCCAAGAGAAAGACTTCAAGGGTTAAAGGATTAGCTTGACCACACATGCTAATGCGGCTAAGTACAAAGCTAATAATAACCAGTTAACATCATTTCATTGCCCAGTGTTTATTTGTTTCTCTTATTCTTGGCACAGTTGGCTATTCTTTAAAACAGATTAGCTGATGCTCAGGGGATTTCTCTCTCATTTTGTCCTACTCTTTCTTTTTCCCTGGTTTACAGCGACTTCTTTCGTGGTTCTGGATCACAGTGGGATTGGAGCAGTGGAAAGTGCCGCTCTCTTGGAGGAGACAGAGTTCACCATCTATATTATATCTGACACTACGCCAAAGGTTACGTGGTTCAAAGATGATCTTGTGGTTGACGGCATCTTTGTGACCACTAAGACCACTCTTTTAGAAGACAAAAGGTACAAACTATATAGTAGGACGTATTGGTGAAAACAGACAGATTGATGCTCATTTAGTTGGCCATGTGTTGTTCCGAGATATTGGTTGAACATTTAAGCTTAACTAGTAGGCTTAACTGTAATCACTCGTACTGTAAGCACTGCATTAATTCAAACCTTGTCAAAGTCACTAATATGGGATTCCTGATGTGTTTACTGAAATGTGGCAGTCTGATATTATTATATTAGACAAGTGTCATATCCCAGTCCAGGAACAACTTGGGTGAATAGCAGCTATAGCTCAAAGCTCATCTCTGTCCCATCAAGGTACGAGAGTGTTTTGGTCTTGCGGCATCCTCAAGAAGATGACAGCGGCACATACAAAATCGTAGCATCAGCTGGATCACAGAGCGCCGAGTTCTCCTTCAAGATTAATGTCAAAGGTAAAATGTCATCCAGCCCACTGTTGATTTCTTGGATTAGCATTTCTCTCAGGTGCTTTCCTTTGGGTGAAAAAATGTATTAGAACATGTTTTACTCTATTTTCTCATATTTTATTTTTTCCCTGAGATCCACTCATGATGTTCATGTGGTTTTATGCCAAAAAAAACATCAATTCATTTTTACAAAACCATTTTCCAGCCTCTCTTTATCCCTTAGAATTAAACAGGCTGAGCATTTCAATGTGTTATATGTATAAGATCTCTGTTCTGATTGGCTGCCCCATATTGCACCTAGATGAAAAAGTAGTCTGTGCTGAAATACTCATAATAACTTCGGCACGAATGGATGGGGCTCAACTGCTGTAGGCCAAACAGGCAAATATACAGGAGTGTAGGATTCATGACATCACAAAATATTAGAACAGGCTGTTCTTGCAGCTTAGTTCACATATATAGACCATATGAAACTTTATCAATGTTTACATTATATATTTTATTTATTTTGAGTGAAAAATACAAAATGTTTGTATTTTTCACTCATAGTTTAAAGAAAGAAAATGAGAAATTCTGTGGATTTTTACATTTTTATTTATACCCCCTGTATGCACATAAGTAGAAGTTATTTTATTATGATGTACATTTTATGAAGTTCATTGTTGTGCACAAACACCTGTTTAGTATTTTACCATGTTTTAGTTATTGTATGACAGAGAACCAAATTGAAAAAAGTCCAAAAAGAAAATAAACTGCATGAACATATATTTCATTATGTGATTAACTGTTATTACCTATATCATTTCATAATTGTATTCAAATCGTATCACAATGGCCAATAACATCACTAGACCTCTAAGGGCTGGATGATGTTGTTGCCTGTCTTGACTGTATAGTGACGGTGTGTATGTGCATGTCCACTTCAGCTGCTGAACCACAGTTGCTGCAGTCCATACTGGCTCCAGTTATCTGGCCCAGGAAGGAAGTTCTGGTGGTGTCCCTTCACTCCACGTTCAAACTGACGTGTCGCGGTCTGGCAGAGCTGGCCTGGAGCTGCCCCGTCTTCAACAACGAACCAACGCTTGAAGATAAGAGGGCTGTCTTTGTCTCCACGGTGACCATAAACAATGCTACAGCAATACATACGGGGGATTACACCTGCTACTACCAGGACGGAAATTATACTGAAGAGGCCAACATCTATGTTTATGTGCCAGGTATGCCAGGAAAACAGGAAGGGCCCTGATACTCACAATGTTATGTGAGCTTGTGTTTCACCCCATTTGTTTATTGCACATTTGAATATATTTTACTTTACTTATTACGAAAACCACAGAATTTTCTTCAAAGGTAACCTGAATGTGTTCTTTGAACAAGTCTAAGGGGAGTTTCCCAAACATGTCAAAGCACAAAGATCATGGAATAAAATGCTAGAGCCAGTATGACTTTGAAACACTCTTTCTTTTGTGATGATGTTAAAGTGATGGTTCAAGCCAAATGATAATTTTTTGTTGTAGCTAAGTTGCATTCAAACATATTTGGCATTTAAAGTTTGCTATTTTTGTTTTGCACTTGAGCTACAGGGATAATTTAGCTAAATAACTGAAGCCTAAATCTCCCGAGTTAACATTGTGCAAACTACATGCCTAAATCATCATGCACTTGCTTCAAATTCCCTTGAGTTGTGAAAGCTGCACCATGTTAGATGTTTTGAAGTAGCATTACTGAGTTAAAAGCAATAAAAACAAGACAAAATATGATGTACGAGCGCTGTTACGAGTCACACTGTAAATCTTGAAACAATATTTTAAAAGTCAGAGGTGTCAGGTTGGATTTTGCATGAGTTTTTTGGCCCACATCGTATGTCTTAACATATTAATGCCACACAACTCAAAAAGATGTTTAGGTTTAAGTAAATGGAAAATCAACATTACACCAATGAAGATATGATGATAGTAGATCATTCACTCACATCCTCAGAAGACACGTCCCTCACTAGGTTTTGTCTGAGTTCCTGTTGAATACTCTTTTATCACAGCCACCATCACCAGATTCATCTGCTCCAGGAAGGGATTCGAAGCACAAACAGTATTACAAACTGTTCTTCCATATGTTGCGTGCAATTACACATTTCCAAATCCCCAAATCTTACATAGTGCAGCTTTACATTGGCTCAAATAGACTTGCTTATGTGTTTTCCAACACTGTATGACATACTTTTTTCAAAAGAAAATGAACAATGTGTTGCAAATGTTGCATAGCCATCCAAAGCTTGACTTTTGCCTATTTTTTATTTATTTTTTATTTGCCTACTTTTTATATGTTTTAATGGCACCAGTGGTGCAGTGTTGTTTTGCGAAAATGTCTGTTTTTCTCATACATTATTGCTCCTTTCAGACCCAAAAGTGCCATTTGTGCCCTCTCTGGTGCCGTTCATTAACCATATGCTGACGAGTCATGAGGAGACCGAGGTCCCGTGCCGCGTGTCTGACCCCAGTGCTAATGTGACTCTGATCCATTTGGAGACCCAGCAGCCTGTACCTGCTGCCTATGACAGCAAGAGGGGCTTTCTGGGCTTCTTCACTGCTGGAACATACGTGTGCCGAGCCCTGGTGAACGGTGAGGAGCACGAGAGTGAGGAGTACATCGTCCATGGCTGGGCAGGTGAGGCCATATTTGTGTTTGTGTGAATATACATGTGGGTACATATAGTGGTTTTAACAAAATCCACATGATATAATAACATGCCATACTGCAAAAAGGTGATTCAAATATGTAAATATTTTCCACATGATTGCATCAACACAATAATTCCCAAAAGTTAGTAAACTGAAAGATTTTCCAAATAATTGTACATCTGTGGGGTAGTGGAGGGTTTAAGTCTGAGCTTGATAGCCAACTTTTAGGTGCTCACCTTAAGTTATGTGCTTTAATTACAATTATACAACAGTTTGTTCTGACGACACAATCTGATTGGTTGAGAAGCGTTCAACACATTTTGTTACTTGTGATAAAAGCACAGTATTTTCACAATAATTGTTTTATTTTGCTAATCACTAGTTAGAAAGTATCATCTTGATTTATGCTGCCCTTAAGTTTGTACTTTACATACAAAATTAACAAAAAATGTTAAAATAAAGAAATTGATACTTTAGATGCAATATTTTAAGACAAATTATTACATCAAATTCCAAACATCTCATTGCCCTCCAGCAAGAATTCCAGATGGCGTCTGTGACAACTGAACAAGTAAACACAATGGAGCCAAAAACAAACAGAACACAATTAATCAAACAAGATGGGCTGTGAAATGCTTTGCAGACAGAGCAAATCGACATTCATTTTAATATGGCAAATATTGAAAAAGCTGAGTTGAACACAATATTATGGCAGTTTAATGGCTGTATCTATTACGCAGTAGGGTACTACTGCTTTAGTGGAAGGATGTGCCAACATTAAAGTAGTTTTTTAAAATTGAAATATGAGTTCAGTATCTGTCAGTACTCAAGGTTTCATCATCTGTATTAGCATCAAAAGAAAAAAGTTGTATCTTTAGTATTGATGTGATATATTTTATTCATGTGGAAATGTTCAGTGCAGCACTTTTGTTGGTGCATCATCTCTATGAAAGTCTAACACTCTTTATCTCTCCTCTCTCTCTTTTCCACTGGAGGCCCAGAGTTGCAAATTGAGCTGAAGGCTGAGAAAAAGGCTCTCTTGGTCGGAGAGACCCTCACAGTGAACTGCGTGGCAAAAGGCAGCGAGATGCTGGAAGACCGCTGGAAATATCCTGGCAGTCATGTGAGAGACAAACGGAATATTATTCAAATATCACATATTCCAAAAACATGCACAGAACAAAGCCTTATTGAAGGAATACTGCACTGATTTCAGTCTAGTGCATCTGCAGGATATGTTCAAGTGTCAGGGACAGTAATTCCTCTATAGAAGTGTTTTTGAGTCAAAGGGTTTTCTATTCTTTTACTAACTACAGAAAAAAGTCTCAAAATGATTGTCTATAATAACTGACTGTGTGCTGAGGATGGCATAGGTAGAGATTAGGTTGTACCATATCTTTGTGGCACGTGTTAAATTTAGGGGCCCATATCATTAAAAAAAAACATTGATTTCCATGCTTTTTTTTAATAAAAGATGTAAACATGGTTAAAGTTATCAGAACATTCAGTCCCCAGTCCATACAGTCCATGTATTTAAAGTAATTTGCAAAAACAAAATTTAAAATGTGTTGTTTTTTTGATGGTATAAAAACTGACAAATTTACACATATCCACCTATTCGGCCTACAGCCTATTCAGCCTTCAGCCCAGACTGCTTTTTGAATTAAGCACAATACACGATAACCAATCAGAACAGAGATAATTTGCATCAGTAACAGTAACTGAACAGTAACAAAAGATCCCGTTCAACTTAAGGGATACAGAGAGGTTGAAAGTGGCCATGTATTATGACTGCTTTTGGTACATACACAAACATAGTAGGTGGACCTCAGGAAAATAATAAAATTCAAGAAAAAATAGGATATGGGCCCTTTAAGAGATTGCTCGTAGGTTCAAATGTAGTAAAACTAGGTTTTATATGCAATAGGTTTAATATGAAATAACTGTGCATCAAGATGAATCACTTCACACTCGTGTTGTTTGAGATAGTATTACTATTAAGTTAGGATTAGTGGCATTATTGTATGTTTTTGTTATATGAATAAATGAAGATCAACTTTCTCTCTCTCTCTCTCTCTCTCTCTCTCTCTCTCTCTCTCAGGCTGGTCGTGGAGTGAAGACAGTAAAGGAGAATAAGAGGGATCAGGAGATTCAGTATACTCTGACTGTGTCTAGAGCCACAGCTAAAGACAGTGGAATCTACTCCTGCACTATAACTGACATTATCAGCAATGAGAGCCAGACTAAAGAGCTCACCATTACTGTCTACGGTACGAAGCACACAATATGCACAGTAGAGTGTGATGTCAATTTTAACAGACACAAACAAATTCATCAATCTTGTCATATGCAAAAGTTTATATTGTTATACGCAAAAGTTCTTAGTCAAATTACATAGTTGATTTTCAAAGTAAAAACATTACTGTAAAAAGACTCACATTTCTGCACATTTTAATACATAGTTACTGTTTATTTGCTGAATTTAACATATTGGAAAAAATAGAACATAAAATGTGACTCATGCAAAAGTTTTGGAACAGTTATATTTTATGTTTTCTTTTTTCCAACATGTTAAACTCAGCAAATAAATGAAAATTATGCACTAAAAGTTTCAGGATAAATGCCTTATTTAAGTTCCTTGTAGCAAATGTGGAGAGGTGTTCAAACTTTTGCAAGTGCAGCTGTGCGTACTACATGTCCAAAAGTCTGTAGACACCTGCTCGTCCAACCTTTCTTCTAAAATCAGGTTTATTAACAGGGAGTTTGTTCCCCTTTGCTGCATTTATGAGTTCAGGTACTGATGTTGGACGATTAGTTCTAGATCACAACTTCCACTCCAACTCATCCCAATGGTATTAGGTTGGCACGAAGTTCAATGCATGACGTTTCATTGGCAGTGCTTTTCTATGGAGATAATATATGCACTGCATTGGATGTACAGTTTATAAAATGTTGATTCTGTTATACTGACTGGATAAAGTTATTCTTTGTGTTGAACCAGTTTAGGATTAGTTTAGGATAGAAAAAGACAAATATTAATTGTTAAACAATTAATGACTTGCGCATGTTTTTAAATGAACATTCAGTTCCCTGAAGACTTGCCTCAGGCTAGAAAGCAGCATGACTGGGGACCAGTGTTTCCACAGCAGACTTAAACAAAATCCTTCTGAACTGATTAAGTTGGTTGTGTTTAGTAAAATAAACTGTGCTCTGCTATCATCTGCGCTCTTGTGCCTCTCCAGAGAGGGAGTTTGTGTCTGTGTCTCCTGCGTTTGACTCCATGGAGACGGCCAAGCTGGACGACGTTCGTGAGTTCAGGGTGGACATCGATGCTCTCCCCACCCCCAAGGTCACGTGGCTGAAGGACGGAGTCGTCCTGGGCGACGTTTCTGCCGAGATTGCCACCTCCCTCCGTACGATCAGTGAAACCAGGTTAGATGGCCTGAGACATCTTTATGTTAGATTTGCGGATTTGGAGCAGAGATTCAGCATCACTATTGCAAAAAGATTCTGCTGAAACAACAACAAAAACCTAGCTGTTGAATGTCTTATGTCTTATGTGTTCAATATCATTAGGACGAAGACATTCTAATAAGTAAACTAAGTAAACTAACAAGTAGTCATGTACATAATATCACTGTTGTTGGAACAAAACCTCTTATCTCCGTTTTTGTCGATATTCAGTTTTTAACATAATTTGAAAATGCCTGTTGCCCTTTACATTGTTTGTAAATTTTATGATGAACGGACCAAAAGAAACATCCCAGAATGACTTGGAAAAATGTCTGGTTCCATTGACTTACATTAAAAGTAAAGTAGGTTTTTTCCTTCTCCTGTAAAGTTACCATTTTGGAGATATGAGGTTTTGACCCAACAACAGCAATGTGTATCTCATGTATGTCTCAATCATATATAATCATGACTATAATCATGTTGGTGCTTAATCCACTAATAAGACTAGAGGTAGCAGGAGTGTGACATGACATGAACAAGCTGGAGTGAGTTGTTGATTGATTCAAACTTTGGTGTTTAAACATTGCAGTTGCATTAGATATCAGAAATAATGGAACTCTCCTCAATGCACTGTCACATCTCTGCACATTGCATTATCACCATGTTTCGATGTATCGTTACATCTTTATTCTATTATTATTAAGCTTTCAGCATATCATTGCTGTCCAAAAAAAAAAACAATTATCTCCATTTTATTTATTTTTTTCTTTTCATTTGAACAGCTTTTGCATTGTGTTGAATTTTCATAAAGAATGACCAATAGAAATGCTCCAAAACTGCATGGAATAAAACCTCTTCACATTATCTTGCATCTAAAGTAAAGGATGTTTTTGCCTTCTCCTGAAAAGTTACCATTTTGGAGATATTTGTGTTTTTTGGACAGTGATGAAATGTGGAACTTTGTTAAACCTGCTGGAAAAGCATTCCTGGCAGCTGTTAATAAAGTTGCTTAATAGAATTCTAAGAGTGTGCAAAGCTGCATCAAGGCAAAGCATGACTGTTTTTAATAACTGTAAAACATATAAAGTTTTGATTCATTTAACACTTTTTGGTGACTGCATAACTCCATATGTATTTTTCAGAGTGTCATGTCCTTTCATATTTCACCAGATGTAGTAAAAGGGAAAAAATGGTGATCGGGTTAGCGTGACTGATACTGTATATATATTATATATATAAAAATATTATATATATATAATATATAATATATATATATATATAACTGTATATATATATTAGGCCCTATGTGCATCAACATGAGAAACGTGGATGCTAACTGCAGCTACTTTGTGTCTGTATAGGTACCAGAGCACTCTCACTCTGATTAGAGCTAAGGCCGAAGACAGCGGCAACTACACAGTGAGAGCTGAGATAGGCAACCAGAGTGCCAGCCATTCCTTCAGCCTGCAGGTTAAAGGTGAAGTTCAGGAATGTGTGAAGCCCTGTCATTTTCCCCCTCTCCCTCTGTCTTCACTCGTTCTGTAGTTGAACTCACGAGTGTTCCCATCACGACTTCATTTACCTGCGTTTGCATGTATTCATCCCTCTGGGCCTTCTTTGCCTATGTTTACCTCTTTGTTTATCAGACCTTTTCTTTTTTTATTCGCATTTCCATGTATATTAATATCTTATCACCATTACAATCTGTACGGACCCGTTTTTGCTGAAGTTGGTCTGTGCGCATTTGTCCCATTTAGCTAATTAACCTATGTCTAATAATCCATACGTTGCTTTGTATCTGTGCATGTGCTGCAGTTCCTGCAGTGATCGTGGACCTTATGGACCTCCACCATGGCTCAGCAGCAGGCCAGGCTGCAGTGTGTGTCGCTGGAGGGTCTCCTGTCCCTGATGTGGAGTGGTACATCTGTAAAAACATCAAACAGTAAGAAGATTTGGACTGTCTCCTCTCTTCGCATCTGTGTTATTTTACTTTCTCTATCATTTCGTTTGTCACCTTTTGTTTTTGCTCTCATTCACAAGAAGACCAGGACAGCAAAAGAGTCTTCTTCTTGCTTTGTCTGGCTTATTTGCTGCCCACCATTTTCTTATTTTGTTGGAGTTTTTTTTTTACACACGCAATGATTCACTCACCTTTGTCTAATGCTTTCTTTTCTATTAACCCTCAGAAGTATGGCTGAACAATATAAAAACATTGCTATTGTGATAATTTACATCATAATATGTCACAATATGCTTTTCTGAGCGCATCATGGATTTTGTCGGTACTTTAAGAACACTGACCAAGTTCATGCTTCATTGCAAAGAAAGCATAATGAGGCCTGGTTAATTGGATTTAGTGCAGTATAGCATGTTTAATGTTTAAAACAAATCACTTGCACTCATAGTTTTCATATTATTTTATCAAATATATTCCATATCCATTTCAACCGATGAAACACCAGAATAATTAACATTGTGACATATTATTTGATAAATCTTGAAGTTTCATTTCGCTGCTGTCAGATCAAGACCTCGTATCTCCAAAATGGTAACTTTACAGGAGAAAGAAAAAAACTTACTTTACCTTTAATGCAGGTCAATGGAACCAGACGTTTTTCCACATAATTTGGGGTCTCTTGATCCATTCATCATGAAATTCACACACAAGGGACAACAGGCACTTTCAAATTTGGTCAAAAACTGAAAAAGGTTTTGTTCCAACAGCAGCGATTTATTTATATTATTATTATTATTATTATTATTATTAGCAGTAGTAGTAGTAGTAGTAGTAGTAGCAGTAGTAGTGCCGTATCACAAACTTCTACTTACAAATATTATTTGTCTCTACATTTGATTTACATAATTATATACTTACATAATAATAAATGCACTTTACATAGTAAATTAAATTTGTACTTGATTTAGATTCTGTATCACGAAGTTTGAGTCTACACTTACCAAACTAAACTTTTTCAAGTGACAAAAGACACAAGGCAGTACACACAACAAAAAACTTTTGACTAAATTCAAATCACAATAAAGCATCTCCTCTTCTACTTACAGGCAAACTGAAATTTTAGAATCTGCACTTTCAGTATAATTTCTCTGCTTTTTTTCAGTGAGCTATGACTGAAAAATCATTATCAACAGATTATACTATGCTTTTACCAAAGCTGTGACTTCTAAGGGTCAAAGCAAAGCACAATAAATCATATCTCATATTTTCTAGAACTCAACTGCAGCAACTACAGTGATGACATAATAGTGACATAATCATATTTGCACTTTCTCAGCTGTGCTAATGACTCAACTCAGTGGTCACCACTTCAGACCAACACCACAGGGATCAAAGTGGATACACACATCAACCAGGACAACCAGCTGGAGAGTGAGGTGATCTTCGGCCATCTGGAGAACACGCTGGCCATCCGTTGCCTGGCCCGCAATGACATGGCTGCTGTCTCCCGGGAGGTCAAACTAGTGTCCAGCGGTGAGAACATCTCTCTGGCTCTCATGTCATGAAACATTCATTATACATTATTAACAACTCTCTCAACTCTCTTCACGACTCAAGCCAAGGACTTATGGATTTAGCTAAAACATGTTTTTAATTGTGTGCCATGAGCATCATGACCAACCTCAGACATTGCAGATGAGTTTCACAATAATGCATCTCATTAGAGGTTCAACAGTGTGTTTTAATAGATGGTTGCAGTCAGAATATGTAGCAACATAAACACAATGTGATATTTCATACATATCATGCAGCCCTAGTTATCGAAGTTAACCAAAATATTAAGCTACTGCCTCAATGCCCCCCTCTAAACATACACTTTCCATTGCTAGGGGGGTAATTTAGGAATAGCTTATCTGTGCAACTCCTCTTTAGTTTTTAATAGAGTGCAGTTATGCGTTGAGATCAGTAGAGCTTCACCTATAAATGACAGCCTTCCAGCCACAAGCATTAGCATTAACACCTTCTTCACTCTTCCTCACTGTTTTACATACACAGCCGCTCCATTTGTCACATCTTCACCCAATGCTCATCACGTACCTTTTGGTTCAGGTCCTGTGTGTGTTTGGTCGAGAGAAACTCGAGCCTACCGAAAGCTACTCTTCACTGATAGCCCTTACAGCTGTTAGCTTTATTCTGTCAGGCTCCTTCTGTCCTGTCAGGCTCTCCATGTAGTGAACCACTGATAGATTCCTCATGTGGCCTGATGCTGCACTTCTCAAAAGGAAATCCAAACGCCATATGCTTTGCTTGTTTATCCATGCAGTTGCTGTTGGCCATTTTTCAAATAGCTGAGTTACAAGGTAAATCATTTTACCCAGGTTGGTAAGAGGGTCACAACCAAAGACTGGAATGAGCAGCAAAAAGATTAAATTAATGTGGCTTATTAATATTAATTGAAGGAAGTAGCCTCAGGAGAAAAAAACGAAGTACAACCGACATCACAAAATGTTATACATTTCCAAAAGAGATCCCCACAACTTATGGAGTGTAGCTTTAATTGAATTACCATACAAGGTTGTATTCAGTCACAGTCAGTGGCCAAAAATATTATTATATCCACTAAAATAAATTGATTTTGCACACATTGTTTGTCAGACTTGCCTGCTATGGTTTACATTTCCATTTTAATGATATTTGTAAAAGTACATATACCTACAGCCTTTAAGTATCAGCCGGCAATGCTGCTAAAATATATCACAATACACTGCATTTAAAAACCATGAATCCAGTGAGTTTTATTCAACAGTTTTTTGCACTGCACTAAATCAAATTAAACAGGACTGATTAAGCTCTCTTTGTAATGAAACATGTAGCTGGTCAGTGTTCTTTAAGCACTGATTATATCCACAGTTTGCTCAGGAAAGCATATCGTGACATAATGTGACATAGTGTAGAACGGTAATAATAAATATTATCATATTGCCCACTCCTTCTATTACCTGTATCAGACAGGAATGTCAGAGGCTAATCTGGTGATGATGATGTGTTCAGGTCCGCACTCGGAGCTCACTGTGGCGGCTGCCGTTCTGGTGCTGTTGGTCATTGTCATCATCTCACTCATTGTGCTGGTCATTATCTGGAAACAGGTACTCACTCATTCATTCACTCACCCTGATTCTCTTTTATGGATTCTTAAGTTTACCATGCTTCCATTCAATTCACCCACTCACTCATTCTTCCTGTAGTTTGCTCTCATTTATTCATTCATTCTTGTTTACTCACTCACTCAAGCTCCCAACCTTTCTCAGTGTTTGTGGTGTATATGACACAATCTGCTTGATTCTGAAGAACCCAAATAAGGTTTTCTATTATTTTCACATGACTTTAACCTGTGCTCTCCCATTAGCTGGGTGCATTCTAGTATATGTAATGCAAATGTATTAATCAATGTCAAGTCAGACTGAAAAAAGTGCGAGAGTGTTATGAGAATCACATTGAAATGTATGCATAATTTCCACATTCAGTACATCAACACAAAAGTATGCAAACTGAAAGACAAAACTGTGTTGATGTTATATATCATCATCAACATGCATCTTATTACTGACTTTATTTTTCATTATCATTTAAGCACAATGGCTGTTCTTATTGTGTGAAATGTCATGATGAATAGAACAATTTAAATGCTCAAAAATTACTCAGAATAAAACTTCTTAACTTTACCTTACGTTAATAGTTCGGAGCATTTTTGCTCTCTCCTGTAAAGTTACTATTTTGGAGATTCCTGCTTTTTTGTGCACTGATGATATTTTATTCATTTGGGAATTATGTACAAATTTGAATCAAGTCAGTTCAATGCATTCCTTTTTACAGTCCAGTTAAGCAATTTTACTCAATGTGGTAATAACCTCTGCTCTGGAATGAGCTTAATGTCTGCCTTTCACTGTGTGTGTTGCAGAAGCCACGCTATGAAATCAGATGGCGGGTCATAGAGTCAGTGAGTCCAGATGGACACGAGTACATCTATGTGGACCCCATGCAGCTGCCCTACGACTCGCGCTGGGAGTTCCCACGTGACGGCCTCGTTCTGGGTGAGTCACACACACACACACATAACCATGGTCAAGCAGCCCTCCTTGCACTGTGGGCCTTTCCCTCAACAGTGTTTATGTTATGTTACGTTACAGCTGCTTGTGGTCATGTAATCAATTGGACTGTGGTCTTGTCCTTGGTTGTTTCCAATCAGATGTGGGCACTGCCTTGTGATACCAGCAGCGCCAAGATGTGGCATGTGTGTTGTGTGTCTAGCGGTCCCTGGGAGGATTAGGAGTGGTCGTGACTCAGTGATCAAAGAGTTTTTCTCTAACATAAAGCCATAGCAGTGAAGCTGAAAGACCACAGACGGCTCTCTTGGGTCGCCATACGTTAACCCCATTTGGCAACTGCGCCACAGAGGCTTTTTTCTGTAGAGCCATCCATTTAAAATGCAGGAAGGGGATCTGTGTCATTGGGTTTCAATAACCCAGTCGCAATTGCTGTACCAAAGATGAATTTAAGACGACCCAAAGGAGATGTGTTAGGTGGTCCGTGGACCAATGTTTGAGACATATTGTCCCTGTCAGAACGACACCAGATTAATAAGTTTACAGAAGAAGGAAAAAAGTTTTCTTAGCTTTTGTGTAAGTTAATGCAATAAGATTTTATTCCAAGTCATTTTCATGCATTTCTACTGCTGCGTTCATCGTGACATTTTGGCACATAGAGATAAAATGGAGATACAAGCTTTGGTTTTGACAGCAACGATATCTTCTTTTATGACTTAATAGGAGAAGCTAGAAAAAATCTGCTTAACTTTTAACTTTTTTTCACCCTTTGCTATAAAACGCAGTGTCACCTTGTTTTGGAGGTCTCTTTATACTCTCTATACTTTTTTTTCCATCAACAACCTTTATAGAATATACATGTATGATGGAAATGTGTATGATTTATAAAGCCAGAAGTGAACTGAATTTTTCTCAAGTCAAGCAAGTCAACATAAATAAATATAAAAGTGTCTTCTTCTTGCTAATTTTTAGTAGTTGTACATGATTTTTTAAAATCTAGAAAGCTACAGTGGTGCTGTTCATTTTATCTCAGCACAGCCGTCTTTGTGGAGAGATGTGAATTGTTTTCTCAGTATCCCTTCACCTTTCACCCCTCGTTGCTCACTAGCAGCTCAACACAGTCACAGCAATTCACAGCCAAGTGTCTTAGTTAATCTGATAATATTCATTAAAAAGTTGTGAGATGATTTCCATTCCACTGTGGAATGGCCACTAGGGGGCCTGCAGAGAGAAGTTGAAGTACATTAATATGAAGTTTTGGGTTCTAGGTTATTTTGGACCATCTTTATTAGTACATGCTTCATGAAATGTTTACACTTTTTAATTTAAAATGCAGCTGGTGTTTTTAAATGGTGTAAAAAAGTAAAAACCAATGTAAAAAGAAGTTACATATTTTTGATATAACAGTAAAAACATACTCGTCTACAGGACTTCATTCTGTGTTGTAGGGGTATTCATGTAATACGCATGTGTGTATGTGTTACAGGCCGTATCCTGGGTTCGGGCGCCTTTGGTAAGGTGGTGGAGGGCACCGCATATGGACTAAGTCGCTCTCAACCGGTCATGAAGGTGGCGGTGAAGATGCTCAAACGTGAGTCAATGGATCATCTGCACATAACAGCTCCGTATAGAAGAAACACAGTAAATTCACCCATACAGTATAAACTGTATGATCTGTCATCCTCAAACGATCTGACGTGGCTTATGCATGATTGGTTAATTGAGATGATATGATTTGATTGTTTCCTCAGCGACAGCACGCTCCAGTGAGAAGCAAGCGCTGATGTCAGAGCTGAAGATCATGACCCACCTGGGCCCTCACCTCAACATCGTCAATCTGCTGGGAGCATGCACCAAATCAGGTACACACCAAATCTGTACTAAGGAAGTGATTCTCCAAGATTTGAAAAATCTCTAATCTCATAAAGATTAGATTGTGGTAATTTAGGAAATGACTTATTGCATGGTACTTATTCTGTACGATTCAGAAAAATTCAGAAAAAAACACATGACTTTAGAAATTACATACACAGAAGTGAATAGGCAATAAAAACAATACATCAAGCTTTTATTTTGTTGTATGTTTGTTTGTTTGTTTGTTTTTGTTTTTGAAAATAGACTGTTTTGGCCAAAAATGAGTTCATACTTTATTGATTATTAACATAATTAGGTCGAATAGATTCTGACATGCCAAAATCAATGCAGGGTCACCACTTTAAATTGATCACAGTGGACTGATGCACATTACTACACCTCTTATTACATGTTATTCACATTGTGAACACACAAATTGTACATACCCAAGTGGGCAAATGTGTTGATTCAGATGTGGAGCTGTTATTGTGTTCAGGGCGGTGTCTCTTCTGGCCTCTGTGGCTGTGGTATTTTAACAGGCTGAGTTTATTGCTTTCTTCTGTCTGATTATATGCACTTTACAAGCCTCTGATAAGATTAGACTGTAGCCTAACAGCCTTCTCATCATCTCTCTCTCTCTCTCTCTCTCTCTCTCTCTCTCTCTCACTCTTTCAGGTCCTATCTACATAATCACTGAGTACTGTTTCTATGGAGACCTAGTGAACTATCTGCATAAGAACAGAGATGGCTTTTTGAGCCGGCACCCAGAAAAGGCCAAGAAAGACCTGGACATCTTTGGCATAAACCCAGCTGATGAGAGCAGTCGGAGGTCAGCAGCACACACACATATCTAGAGTTAACACATTTTCTTGAACGTGAGAGAAAACAAATGCATTTTTTTTTTTAATAAACAGATAATATGTTCAAAACAGAGACAGATACAGGTATAACACAGAATATACTGCAAAATGGTGCTAGCCAGATCTCTGTCTTGCTAACCAGAATTAAACATAGCCTTATTATCTTATTATTATTCCCGTATCATCTCCAAAATAAGGCTGATTCAAACAACTGGACTGAAATTCATTAAAGCCTGCAAAATGTTATGCAATGCATGTAGTAGGAAACACCAGCTTTTCAGACATTTACCTTTCTGTTGTTTGAACTAATGAATTAAACATGTCCAATTTATACTACATGGATATAACCAGCATAAGTTGCTAGCTCAGTCTGGTTGAGTGAACTAGTCGCTGAAAGAAATGTGCTTTTATTCTATAGATTTATTGACCACAGTATAATTTCAGTATAACATTTCCTTGTTAAAACATCCCAAGCATCATCAGTGACACACAGTCATTACAGATATTTCAAGCACTAAACCGATACACACACAGAAACAGTGCCAAGTATCTGTATCACCACGTTATTAGCTGTTCAAATGAAGCTGTGCTGCCTCTAAAAAAAGAAAACCTTTATTTCAGAAGGTACATGGCATTATGTGTGAGCTGAATAAGTGCTCTGGTGTCTTCTCTTAATCAAATTCCGCTTCCTTTTCAGTGAGAGAGAAGGGTGAGGGGGTTTGGGTTTCCTTCTAATTGGATGAGTGTAGGGGTACAATCATTTTTCAGAGGATGGTGAGATAGAGTGACTGCAAAGAGTGATACAGAGATGGATGTAGAGTGAGGATTTAGGGGAGCCAGGAGGAGAGAGACAGAATATAGGAGGAGGTGAGGGGGTGGAGAGAGGAAGAGAAAGAGAGGTAAAGAGTAGCGAAAGAGTATGAAATCATACTTTGCAGTGAAATCATGCTGATGTAACCTCAGCAGCCCCAACCACCTGCTGTAGACAAGCCTAAATTATAAATGGATTTGATCATTTCCGGGCAAAAGTGTACCACGGAGAATACAGTGCACCAGAGATGATCTCACATAGAGTTAGCACACAAGTTACTCCTTTACTGTTCCCCTTACATCAAAACATGTACATTAAAGGACCTATATTATACACTTTTCTTTTGTTTTACTTTTTAGTGTGAAGTCTTCCATTAATGTGGTTTTGTGCACCAAAAACCAAATAATTAATTTTATACTTCATTTTTACTTGACCATTTTTTAGCCTTAGAGTTAACACTGCTTTTGTTCATGTGCATTTAAGACTGACATATGTAAATGCATGCTGGTCTGATTGGCTAATAATGATATTGTTCCTAGTTTATGAGCTGAAATGTGCACTCCTTTTGCTGCAAAGTGAATGCCCAGAGCAAACTGCTATAGAATGGATAGTCATATGTAAATATATTTGTGGTTGTGATATTGCAAACATGATGAATCCCGAACTTTTGTTTTCATAGCTTAGTTTACTATATCAGTCTATATCAGGGTGGAGAACTGAGAGCTGGAATCCAGCACAAATAAGTGAGTTCCTTGCTCTAGCATATCACCTAAACCTGCTAATTAATTGATGAATTGAATCAGGTCTGCTTGAGCATGAAAATCACAAAACTGCAGGAATGAGTTCCCCACCCTGTAAAAATGTTTACATAATACATCGCTTATGGCATGGTACCTTTAATTTTTTTATTTTTTGTGCACAGATTTCAGTATTTTGGAAAAACAATGCTGTTGCAATGATGATCGATTATGTAGGAAGCACATAAACAGTGGATTGCGACATTAACGTTAATGTGTGCTTGTGTGCAGTTACGTGATCCTGTCCTTCGAGGAGAAAGGAGACTACATGGATATGAAGCAGGCAGACACTATGCAGTATGTCCCCATGCTGGAGAGGAGCGAAGCCTCCAAATACTCTCACCTGCAGAGAGATGATTACGATCACCCCCCCTCACACACACACACCAACGGTAAGAAACACACTCATACACCCTCTCACAAACACACACCTACATTACTTTGTAAATCGCAGAGACCACCCTTTGTTTATTTAATATTCAGTCAACACAGTTATTAAGTAAGTTAGTTATTTTTCAGGAGGCATTTCTGATGAGATTACATAATAAGATAATTCACCTGCATAAGGAGGGAAAAAGAGAAAATAAGACTCCTAATATTCTTGCAGACATGGTAGACCACCAAAACTGTCACCACCAGATAAACAGTGCCCAGAGCGTCTTTACATTTTCAGGGTTCATTTGGGTCCTGGCAAACCTAGAAAGTCAGGGAAAATAAACATGCTAAAATCCAGTACAGAATTGTCCTGATTATAAAAAACTAATAATAATAATAATAATAATAATAATAATAATAATAATAAAACAATAATAAAATCAAAAAACAGCCTAAAATTGGCTGGAAAGTAACAGCTATAAGGACTGGCTTCAACAAGGCAAAGCAAAATAAGCATATCGCTGTTGTCGGACCAAAACCTCGTATCTCCAAAATGGTAACTTTATAGGAGAAGGAAAAAAACTGTTTACTTTTAATGTAAGTCAAAGGAACCAGAATTTTTTACAAGTCATTTTGGGGACATTTCTTTTAGTCTATTCATCATGAAATTACATGGAATGTAAAGTGTAACAGGTATTTTTTAAATTAATCAAAAACTGAAAAATGTCAAAAATGGAGATACAAGGTTTTCTTCCGACAACAGTGATGTGGTGGGATGCCATTACCGCATGAACTGTAGAAATTTGACATTGGAAATATTAACAAGTCTGCGTCAAAAAGGCTTATGAAGAGGAGCAAACAGTGAAAACTGAAGAACAGCAAAGAAGTCAGCAGTTGAGAATTTTTTCCAACCACTTGTGGGAACATCACAGCTGATGACCACACCAGCGAGCTGTTCAGCTTCATGAACCAGTGGATTATCTACCAGTGGTAGTGCTATGAATGATGATAGGTCATATTTGCTTAGCACTGTAGTACTGCAGTTGTACTTATTGTCCAATTTGACTGGAAATTAAACAAAACAACGGAATAAAACAGAAGGACGGTCTCTGACATTTGCACAGTGCAGTACATATTGTGGCGGCTGCCACTTGCTCCATGTTGCAGAAGGGGACTTTAGAGGTGTGGTTGTTGTTATTGTTGCTGTTGTTGTTGTTTGTTGGGTTAAGGTGTTGGTGTGTGTTTATTGTATGTTATTCACAATGGAGTGAAGTTACATGGTCAGACGTAAACTTTTCCGTTATTCCGGCTGTATTTCAGTGGCCTTTTCTGCCTTGTTCAATAAAATAAGCATTTCTCTAGCAGAAATTCTCTGCCTCATCTATGCCACAATATACACCCATTTATGCCTCAATCGTGTGAGATATACTAAAACTGACACAACACTTTCAATTCTTCTGTTCTTTCCCCTTCAATGTTAGTTAGTTGTTTTGGAGTGTTTAGTCTTCTTCCTCTTTCCTTTTTTCTCTCTCCCTCACCCACTCTCTCCTCTGTTTTCCTCTGCTTCCTTCTCTGTGCTCACCCTGGTCAGTTTGGCTTACTTCTGTGTGGTTTGGCTGGGCATAACATCCTCTAAAGCACACACACACACACACACACACACACACACACACACCCATACTCTTACATACACACTGCTGTTTTGCCAGCGATAGTGGAGGGGTCCACCCTTGTCTCTGACTAAGTGGGGCATTGCACTCTGTGCACCCTGCACTTACAGAAGGTAATTGTAGCTCACGGGGCTTAATGCAGTCTTCCCCTTGCCATCACTAAGACATGTAAGAGCAGTCCTTTAAAAATACACTCACAGCTTATGTACATAAACAGAGCAACACGTGTTGTGCACACAACACACACACACACACACACACACACACACTCAGAGGTGCATTCTAGATGCTGGCAGTGCTAATTTAGGCTGTGTGTCTATGACCAACAGAGAGTGAGGTGGAGAAACTTCTGTCCGATGACACAGAGGGGCTGACCACGATGGATCTTCTTAGCTTCACCTATCAAGTGGCCAGAGGGATGGAGTTTCTAGCCTCCAAAAATGTGAGTCTGACCTTTCTCCCAACACCTTTCGTTGTTCACAATGTTAGCATTTTTAGCTGAAATATTCATTTAAAGAAATGCTTCAGCATTTTAACCCTAATCTCTATCTGCCACATCTATAGCACATAGTTTATTACATAATCTGGGGAAGGAGACCAAAGCACAACTTGCCATACAAAACGTTCTTCCCCATATTGCGTGCAATTACCACCAGGGAGGTCTCCAGTTCCCCAAAACGTATGAAGTGCAGCTTTAAGAGAGCCGTTAATAAAATTTGCATTTAACATCCATATGTGAACAAGAGGCCATCAGTCATGGAGTCAGTAATAGCAAAACACAGCACGCAAGCAGCTGGGCTTCACCCTAGAGCAATACATAGTCTGACGGGACAAACTAGCATTATGAAGATTAATTTTGACATCTCAAAATGCTTTTATAATAGATGACAATGAACTGGTACTGAAGCAGCTGCTCATTGACTTCTACTATAAGAGTGTTTTGAGTTCCTTAGAAAAACACTTTGAAATTATTATCCATAGAATTATTGTCTAGGCAGATAAAAATAGATTGAAATACTATGTAGTAGCCCTTCAAATGGCCCTCAAAATTAAATACTAGTTGGAAATATCAGCTTGTTGCATGTTGAACCCACACAACATCTTCACCATCCTCAATTGAGACTAAACAAAGAAACATGCATTTCTTCAAGTATATGCCTTTCCTAAGATTCTCTAAGTACTATGTATGCCCTGCTCAGAGTGTGGCTGCTGCTGCAGCCAGCGCTACAATCTTCTCTGTGTTTAAGAAAGTAGCCGCCATGTCTCCCAGCTGACCAGTCTAAATTGAGGGTTTACAGTGGCTTGAGCGCTAGCCTGGTTTGCGTGGGCTCAAGCCACTCTGAGAAAAGCCCAAGCACTCAAAATAGAGCAGGAGAGAGGAGGTTACTGTGTATTATTGCATGTTATTAAAACATGTTATTACAGGGGCATGGACCAGGTATTAATTAAGCATCAGGGGCTTTTAAATGCTGGTTCCATAGAGGGGGTCTAAGGTCAGTGAGCAGAACTGGATATTGTCAGACCACCCTGAAAGAGAAGGAGCTGTAGGATGAAGATAGATGGGTATAGATGGAAAAAGATATTAGAATGTCAGATGTTTTTCATTAGGTAGTAGAGAATGACAAGTAAAATAATGGGCGAAGAACTGAAGAAATGATTATAATCATGTAAATGAAACAGAGATTGAATGTAATGGATGTCTTTTCCACCCCTCTCTCGCTCTCTGCAGTGCGTGCACAGAGATCTGGCAGCACGTAATGTCCTGCTGTCCCAGGGTAAGATTGTGAAGATCTGTGACTTCGGACTGGCCAGAGACATCATGCACGACAACAACTATGTGTCCAAAGGAAGCGTGAGTACCTGTTTTTTCCCCTTTCAGCCATAGCAGATGGGGCACATGTGTGTCCATGTTGAGCTGTCTTTGTGTTGCCTTGTTTTCTATGACTATTTAAAAGCCGCACAATGTTGTCTTTATTAATATATTGCAATAGTTTCTGAGCGAGTGTGCGCACACATTTAGAACAGAATTAACTAAGGGCTTATCACTGATACAGTAACAATAACAATAAAGTATGGCTCTAAGCTCAGCTTTGTTAGATCATTTCCTTTACGTATAAAACTTAATGTGACATTAGCTCTTAAAAATCATGTTCTTTAAGGTAGAGAGTAGATTAAAGAAGTGGTTCCCTAATCAGAAGTCCACAATTGTTCCCTTATCACAAATGTAATCAATCATCCGGGTCATGGGTGGTGTCCAAAGCTTGCTTTTTATATAATATATATAGCTATGATTAATAGAAGTTTGTGTCACAGTCTTTTGGGAGACTAGTGTCTATTAGCCTTATCATATAGCTGCACTGCAAAACTGAAGGACCACATCTGGAAACCAAACAGATCTTGGGCAATCAACTATGTTAGCGATTACAGGAATATTGTGTAAATTTGATTATCCCTTTAAAAGGCAGAAAGAGACGCTTTAATGTACTTGTGAACTGTAGTTGGAGTATTTAAGATGTGTTTTGAGTAATGTTTCTCTTTCCTGCATTTCTGCGTATAGACTTTCCTGCCAGTGAAATGGATGGCCCCTGAGAGCATCTTCGATAACCTGTACACCTCTTTGAGTGACGTGTGGTCGTATGGAATCTTACTGTGGGAGATCTTCTCTCTGGGTACGTCAGGAGTTTTTGACTGTGTTCCAGAAAAACAGTCTGAGAAATGTTGTTTGTGTAATAACCGATCATTTAAAATATATATTTAATGTTTGATCTTGAATTTCCCGCAGGAGGTACTCCTTATCCTGGCATGGTTGTGGACTCCAGCTTCTATAACAAGATCAAGAGTGGCTACAGGATGGCTAAACCAGAGCACGCCTCCAACGATGTGTATGTTCAGCACAACAGCACATAACAGCTCATCTATTGTGTTCTCGTTGTGTAAAGTCTTATGAAAATATTGAACACTGCTGATCAAATTACGGTTTGTTGATTTTCTAAGTGAAAATGAGTTAACACACACTCTGCAGAGAGTAAACTTAAATATGACATTTTTCTGCAAATTTCAGTGCACAATTTCTATTTATCAGGAGAGTTTAATATTGGGTAAAAAAACAAACCTTGATGTTTTATTTTTTCCAATTAAAATGCAGCAAATAAACAGTAATTGTGCATTAAAATATGCAGAAGTGTGTTCTCTGTAGAGGATGTGGTAACTTATTTTCGCTTAGAAAATCAGCAAAACATGTAATTTTCCGAGGTTCGCCCAAACTTTTGCATACTTGATAATAACAATAATGATTAAAATCGCAGTATGGGCCTTTTCCTAAGTTAAATCAGTCAGTTGCCAATCTGGTTTTTGGAAACATACCAGGTTATGGCTATTACATTTGCACTCAGGCTAATACAATTAGATTACAGTACTTCATCTTCTCCCCCACAGTATCACTGGGAGAGCAGTCAAGTTTGTGTTTTCAGAGTGGCTGATAGAGCAATGTGGTTTTGTTTCCGTAGATATGAGCTGATGGTGAAGTGCTGGAACAATGAGCCAGAGAAGAGACCCTCCTTCCACAGCCTGAGTGAGAGTGTGACCACCCTGCTGCCTTCTGGATACAAGAGGGTAAACCTCAGAACTTTTACTTTATTACTGGTCTTCTTTTCTGGACCATTCTGTCTCTTCTGACTTTCATCATTTTGCCTTTTGTATTGGCCTCATCCTTTACATTCCACTGCCTCCCAGCCCAACACCAGGGGGCTTTTCACGCATGGTTGCTACCTTTTCAATAAGCCAGAACCAGACACTCCTCGGCCCCAAGATATGCATTTAATGTCAACATTCCACTAGACTCACCCCTAATGTCTCTTTCAGCTGCACTTTGTATTTAACCTTGTCGCTGTCAGCAGTGGCTTGTTCTTCAAACTTGTAGAGGTTTTAGTGAACTGAAAGTCGTTTATCAACCATACCTGAGATGAGAAGTTGTGGTGGTTATTTCTGTGATAAACTAATGATAGTTTAGCAGCTGTGGTGCAGACTTCTTCGGTTGTTTTTTTTTTGGTAGGAATTTTGACCAACATTACATTGTTGAGAATGCCAGTTCCATTTATGTCAGTCTGAAGTTTGGTGGGCTTTCACGGAAGAAGTGCCATCAAGTTTAATAGTGAGGGAGAAATGATGTATTCTGCACTTTGCAGATGTTGAATCGTTTGGATGTTTAGTAATCCACACCATGAAATGTCCTCATTTTGAAGGCATTTTATAAAGATTTCTTTCATGGTCATTTTTGAACTTTTTCATTTTATACAGACACTGTAACTTCTGGTAGCTCTCTTTATGATTAGCCCTTGCGTTAAGAAAGATGTCAATTGTGGTAAATGACACAATTGGCCAGTGGGAGGGGTGAAGTACAGAGAGTGATAAAAACTGACCAATGTGATTTTATTGGTTGTTTTTTTCCCCCACACAATTTGGAAGAACACTGCAGAACCCAGAACACCCAACGCCCGGACATATATCTTGAAAAGCGGACCTGTGGCGACCCTATTTATACCCATCTAGCAGATGTGGCTGCTCCAGAGCGTCTGTTCTATTGACAGTGCTTTGCTATGGAGATTATACAAGCTGTGGTAGAAGAAGATGCCCAGAAAAGATTTTTATTCAATGAAAAAAATATGTTTTTATATTATAAATAACATTACAGAGTTCTTGAGACTTGTTTCCACCCACAGCACTCACAGAAGCTCTGCTTCAGCCTCTGATGCTGTCTCTGTTTCCCTCTGTTCCCAAGCATCTAAGCCATGGGTTTGTATGCCCTGGTAAATAGTAATGCCCTTTACCCACATTCACAAGATAGCTTCCTGCTTCCTGTGGTTGTAATGCAGTGTATGAGGCTGAGCACACAGGCTACGTGTGCGTCCCTCATGCCTACAGTACCAAACCGCTAACACAGATTAGTGCACTACTGCTCCAGCTGGCTAACGCCCAGCAAGCCCGAATCTAGCCGCACTAATCACCCTGAGCTAACAGTTAGCGTCCGCCTGTTAGCCATAATGACATTATTAAACAGACACCACACATGGCACTTCAAAACTCTGTTTCCCAAAGCGTCACATGGCACAGGAGCTAACTAGCTCCTGTAATAGCTAGTCTAATAGCACCTTGGCTTGGGGTGTGGTGGGAAATGCGGTTCTTTATAGGTTTTCCAAGCCCTTGCGGAACCACAGAACGGTTGCAGAAATGGGGCAGAACGTTTGAGTGAGCCGTGTTTATGGCAGTGCTGAAGGGAATATAAGAGGAATATAAGTGCTTTTTGAAACCGCTAGAGATGATCGACTTTCCTTCTTGTTTCAATCATGCATTTTGAAAGACAGGAGTATATTTTAATGCTCCAGTGTCTTAATGACAGATGTCATTTTTACCCCTGAGAAGAGGGTTTGGAGAACCTGTCATTAGACCTCAAAAAGCAACCATGGCCTACACTTAATGAAACACCTTTCAGCCAGATTCATTACTCTTTTGCTTCACTTTATAAGAGAGTTGTCCTCAGAACACAGGTCTAAAACTTTCTAAAGCAAATGTCCGTCCTTCTCTTTGAACTGAGCATTTAGGTTTTTGAATTGACTGAAAATATATGGGTGATCAATTCTAATAGCAAGTGTATGTGTGTATGCAGAGCTACGAGCGCGTGAACAACAACTTCCTGAAGAGCGACCACCCAGCAGTGACGCGCATGCAGTGTGTACATGTGAGTGATGATGCTTACCTGGGCGTGGCCTATAAGAACCAAGGCAAGCTGAGGGAGCGTGAAAGCGGCTTTGATGAGCAGAGGCTGAGCTCGGACAGCGGCTACATCATCCCCCTGCCTGACCTCGACCCACTTTCCGACGAGGAGTACATCAAACGGAACCGTCACAGGTACGCAGCTCTGTCCCACCAATGTAGCATCAGTTACAAGTATAGTATGTACTATAGCATCGACCATAACTGTAAAACTTGTTTAAAGGTGAATTCTGATGATATTTCAATATTTCTGCAGAATTTAATCACTGAGATGTAAACAATGTAAAATTCCCATGATATGACACTGTTCATGATAGGAACCAGGGGTCATAATGTCTACAACACAACTATAGTCATTTACTTATTATAAAAAAAAAAAAAACAGTGAACCCACATGTGTCTTCTATATAGCTTTTATGTTTCATGTTGAAAATGGTAAAATAGTGGTAAATCAGAAAAAGTAGGTTTTTTCTTTGGGGACTATTTTGCCTTACAGCACCCTGCATGTACCTCTACACCTTTAATGTATTTTTTAAAGTACATTAAGTCAAAAGCTTACCTCAAAACTATCATAAAATCATGTTTCAAACTTTAAGCAGCATGATTGTAACCATTTCGTGTAGTTTACGCGAGGGAGCCTTGGTAGGTTTCTCTATAATGGAGCACTTCACATTAAACTACAGAGAACTTCTTTGTTTACATGATTGAACTTTCCAGAAATTTTGAAAGGTCAATGGAGTTGCCCTTCAGACTTATTTATATGGTTAAAACTGCCCTGTTATTTTAGTAGCATAAAACTAATCAACGTTTAAACATTTGAATATTGTAAAGGGACACAAATGCTCATGTAGACATTTTAAGTTTAAACTTGTGCTAAATTAACATGAGATGTTTTTAGAAGTTGTCAAAATATGGCATAATAAACATTTTCAATATTTTGCTTATTTATTTGATGTTATTTTTTTTTTTCATTTAAAGGCTTAATGAAATTTAGTCCAGGCCAAACTTGTACTTTTACTTGTACCAGGCCTACTCTGCTGCTTTTATTAGTGAAGTTTTTGGGTGATTTCATGTTGATAACTAAGCAGTACGACCAGAACTCTAAACTAATGTGTGTCTATGTCTGTGTGTGCGTGTGTAGCTCCCAGACGTCTGAGGAGAGCGCTATAGAGACGGGTTCGAGCAGCTCCACATTGCCAAAGCGGGAGGGAGAGACTCTGGAGGACGTCACGCTGCTGGATGAGATGTGCCTGGACTCAGGAGACCTGGTGGAGGACAGTTTCCTGTGAGAGAGAGAGCATGGGACATAGAGACAGAGAGTAAGGGAGCGAGAGAGAGAGAGAGAGAGAGAGACCAAACGGAGCAGAAGGAAAAATCCAAGCATCGTCTCTAAATGCGCTCTCTCTTCATCCCAGACTTTCTCTGAACTCTTCCTCTCCCTGCTCCGTTCACCTGCTTATAGAAACTCCCAGAGAAAAACCACTTCACTGCCTGGACGTCCTGTGAAGTTCTTGTTGGTCAGCTTGTGTTACAGACAGCGCCCTCTACTGGGTTGGAGGACGGGCTGGTAAAGGACTGCCAACACTCAAACTACAGACTCATTTATGAGGTTTTCTGACAGACATCACTACATTTGGCCTTGACTCTAGGCATCTGAGACTGATGAGGAAACAGAATGGAGGAGTTTTCGGTTTTCTTGTCTCCTTTCAAAAGTATATCGATGTTTTTGTGTTTATAGGACTTTATCTTGATGGGCATTCTGAATAGCGAAATAAGCAGGAACGAACCAAACATCTGAGCGTATCAAAGACACTTTTGAAACTCCACAACCGCCTACCTTCCAAATAAATCCATCTGCGCTTCCAAGAACCACTACAAAACATCTAACCAAAAAAATTGTGCAAGATTGAGCAACTGTGTCACAGTTCACGTCTACTCTTTGAAAAAAATTCCATTGTTTTGCTCTTGCAAGCGAGCAGCTCGTCCATTGAAAAGCACAACATACATGGATACATACATAGTTCCTGTATCTGATCATATATTGTCGATGACTCAATAAGTGCAGCAATTTGAATTTTATTTTTTTACTTTTTAGTGAGTATAAATATGTATTATTTGTGAATATTTGGGGGGTTGGGAAAAGTTTTATGGTCCTAAATGAAGAAAACAGCAATAATGCTTTGACTTATAGGTCGCATGCACCTTTGTGACTTAACTAAAAGAGCATGATACCATCCCAGTGCTGACACGTCGCTAAACAAAGTTTTGACGAAATTGGAAAAATGATATGAAGTTCAAAACATTCTGTTCTTCTAAGAAAGGTGTCAGTCAGAGGCATTTTAAGACTCCAAAATTTATGCCAGTGTTTTAGTACACACAGGAACGTTTTAGCCTGTGACACTCTAGCGAGGACAAATCTACTTGTAGCTTGATACGAAGCATGAAAGTTACCTTTTACGATCATTTGTTGACAATAAGCTGGAATGTTTTGATGCTGTATGTAACATAATGTAAAATAGGCCAATTCATCTATATACTTTCAGAATTCTGAACCAAACAAAATATTACATCGACTGGTTTAGCTGTTGTATGCAAATGTGTTCTTCCAAAACTTTGAACCTGTACCACACTAACAGTAGTAATACTGTTGCTTAGAGATGCACTGCAGGTTTGTGGTATTCAGGTAACATTACCTGTATGCAAAAGATCAGCTGCTGTTTAGTCCCTGATGATGTTTATCAAACTGTGACAGAACTATGCCGGTTACTTTTTTGTCACTGTCATGAGTGAGAAAAACACCTCATAACGCAATTCAGGTTTTATTTTTTCACCATTTAGAATTGCTAGCTGCCCTTTACATTGGATGAACATTAAATCACAAATAGGCCACTAGAGACTGTGAAAAGCAACCCATTCAAGTCTTTATAAGTTATTTTAACAGATGTTAGAAAGTTTTGAAGATAGATGTTTTTCCTTCGACAGCAACGTAATTCTGTTTCAGTTTGAGCTTCTGAGTCCAGGTTCTTGTTCTTGTGAAGAAGGCAAAGAACAACTCCCACCTAATACAGTCCTTAAGGAACAACAGCCAGTCCATGTTTTGGCTCTGTTCTAATTCCTATGCATGTCTGATTCAAGTAATTAAAGGCTGATTGCCTAGCTCAGGTGTGTTGGAATAAAACAAAACAGTGAACTGGCTGAGGTTCCTCAAGGTTTGGATTGGGGACATGCAGTAGAAGAGTAGAGAACCAAACTAAGACCCCTGTTTGTTAGCCATGAGCACCAGGAAAGGCAGCCATATTGTAGCGGATTAGAGACACGTCTCCTGTTTCATGTGTTTAATGTCTTTGTCTTCATCTGCTCCTGTATGAGTCTGTTTTTACATTTATTTGATGGTCTTCCTTGAGTTTGACTTGATGTAGACGCTAGGCCAGAATTTCCACTATGGAAAGATTTGACATCTGTCAGAAATGCTTCCACAATCGTATAGTTTCACTTGGATTTGTATGATTCAACATGGATTCTCGTGGTTTAATATGGATCTACATAAAAGTTTATGTAAACTGCATCACAGGCATACAAACACTATTGAAAGTCATAGCGTCAAAAGGTACACACATGTAAAGCCGAGCCTAATCTGCATCTCACCTAATGTCCTGTACAGTAGTCTTGAAGCAGCGTAGAGAGACTCTATGTAGCTAGTTTGATGTTATACATCACTGTGCATAGTAAATGGGTTATCATTGTATAGCTTATCATCCAGCGACTTCACTGCCTCCCTTTGAGTGTGTATCCCTCCACTGTGATCTACTCTATGGGCACGATGAGAAACTATAAACTATTGCACTTTGTTACATCTTATCTGTTGTTGCTTTTATCTCTGTCGTTTTGTGTTTGTTTTGAGAGCGTCTGCGATGAGGGAAGTTGTTTTAAGAGTTTTATATTTGGCTGTAAAATGCATCCGGTTTGTGAAGAACAGTAGACTAAATGATTAACGGAAAGAGATGGAGAGCTGAATATAAGTATGAATTATACTCCATGGTACAGTAAGTATGTGTAATAATAGGTAGTTACTCCCAATACCAGATGTTATCCTCCTGTTTTATTATGCATTATGTACATTCAGATGATTTATATTTCAATAAATGAGATTTAATAATGTAACTTGTGGACTTTGTATTGTATCTTTGTATACACAGCTTTGTGTGTGTGTGTTTGTTTTTGTTTGCTTCAATTTTAATTGTTTATTTAGAGAGCACTTCATACATGTAGCGGCTCAAAGTGCTTTACAATGAAACAGTAAGTTTAAAGAGGCAAAACCACAAAAAAAGCTAAAAACAAATGTTATAAAATTAGGTAAAATAACATAATTCAAACAAACAAAAACAAAACCAAACATTCCATGCCAACTCACCTCAGGCCTGGCCAGTCACTTCATAGATCTGCATGAAAAAAAAGCAAAAACTTTAATTTAATTAGCTCAGTAGTTTTAGTTATGAACTCTAAAGTTCACCCTATTTGGGTCTAAATTGTATCTTAAAGCTGTGCTAAGTAAGATTTGGGGATTTGGAGACCTCTCTGGTGGAAATGAGTAATTACATGCAAAGGTGTGGAAGAACATTTTGTAGTGTCTGATATTTGCACGGTCATTAATAGAGTATTTAAAGATAACTGGTGAAAAACATATTTTCCGAGGATGTAGTTGTGTTATCTACTATCATCATCGTATCTTCATCAGTATCGTGTTGAATTCACATTTGAGGCCTAAATATCGAACCGTGCCTTCTTTCAGAGCCTGTGCATGTGATATTAATGTATAAAGACGTATAATGTGGTCCAAAAAACTCCCAGAAAATCCATCCTGAAACCTCTGACTTTGAAATTATGATTTTAGGCTTTACAGGGCGACTCACAGCACAGACACAACATATTTTTGCGTGTTTTTTCTCCTGAGTCAGTAATACTACTTGTTTCAGTCTCAACAAAAAATCTTACTTATCTTGTGCTGCTTTAAATTAACTGGTTTCACATTCATATATACATCAGGGTAATGACCTGGGGGTGCAATTTTTTATGTCAGATTGTGTAATTTCATTTTTTGAAATTTATTCATTCAGCTCAGTAAAACTATTTTTTAGGAAATTTAGATTTTTACAACTTTATAACTAAAATGTATTGTTAGAGGCTTTTTTTTCACCCTGTTTTTCAAAAAAACTTTCCTAAATAAGAGCTGTTATGTCTCATTAACATATAAAAAATACATAATAATACAAATGTGCTATTGCTCCTTCGTAACTCAATACATTTTTTTAACATGATGAATTTGACACCCTAAATTTGTAAAAGAATGTTAAAACTATTTCCAACTATTTCCAAATGAACCTTTATAATGCTCCAGAAAGACGGCATCCTTTTTAAGCGCTAATATGTTATTGTGTGTCCTGTTGTTAGGGAACAACATTGTGTACAATTGTGTGTCTTAATAGCTTGCAGTTGGAAAACACACTGATCTTAAGCACCTTTTACAGTTCATTGGAAATCATTTCCTCTCTACACTGGCAGAACTCTATCAAGAGGTCATCATCTGTCTGACAAACTTTTCCCAAGAAGGTCCCACTACAGCACATTCCATGGAAAAACAAAAACGCCCTGGCCTACTTAATGAGAATGTAATATGAACAGTGCCCACAAGAGGGCGCAATACACCATCTAATCTGCAGAGGAAAACTTGCGGTGGCTGATGTTCATTTGTTTTCCTAATGTGCTTAATGTGTTCAGAACTTTGTTTGTTTGTTTGCTTTGTTAGCGATTCATTCAAAATGCAGCAAATCCATGTTCTGAATTACAGAACTAAACTTGTTGCTTCTAACCACAGCTGTCTAAAGCTACCACTTATAAAGGAATATATGCATGTATGCACTGCCAAAGAAGAGGGGCATCCAAATATTTGTCCTGTGTGAGCTGAGCTACAGTAGTCCATGTTTGTAGGATGTCAAACAAGTTCCAAATGTTAAACAGCCTTGCCACTGAAACCGAACATGCAAATTTCTACAATGGGCCGTGGAAGGATTGACAGTGTGCGTGTGTCTGTGTTGCTTGCGTGTGGTGTTAGGGGTGTGGTACATTTTGAAAGAGCACTGAAAGTGTTGTGTGAAGAAATAACCACTTTTTAAAACATTTTTCTGACCTTCTCATTATTAATTGCATGGTGGAGATGAGTGAGATGAGGCTCTATGAAATTTCCTGATATTCCGTTAAAAAGGTCACCTATTTAGTTTGCTTCATTCAAATGGGTACATCATTCCCGAATGAATAAATATACTACATAAACACAATAATGTAAATGTGTTATGTGTATGATGTCTTAAAGGGCCCATATTTCTTGTTTTTATTTTTATTGTCCATTGAATTTATGATTTATATACTGTGATCGCAATAAAAACCGAGCTGTGGTAGAGTCTGAAAGTGTCTTCTTACTTTATAACGATGACCATGGCAAAGAAGCTTGATAGCTCAGGATGGCCTTATTGTGAACTGAGTTTATAGGCTAAGTCAACTGTTCAATGGATAGTACAAAAATGTAGAATATCACTGCTGTTGGGACAAGATATTATCTCCAAAGTGGTAACTGAACAGGAGAAGGAATTAACTTTGAGCAGAAATTAATGAAAAAAGATTTTTGATTATTTCTATTGGTCTGTGCATCATGAAATTCTAACATATTGCAAAGCATTTTCAAATTATGTTTAAAAAAATGACAAAAATGGAGCTACAACGTTTTATTTCAACAGCATATTAAGCATTTCTGCTCATTTTAAGTATAAAGTGGAGGAAAAAGCTTGAAAAATTACATGAAGCATTGAATTTGTTATTGCAATTTTGATATCAACATCAAATATGTTTGTTTCACGTGATGTTAGTTGTTATCACTGGCTTAGCTTAGGGTGATACAGGCTCCCATGCTTTCATAAATGTAGTTTGTCACACAATCTATTCAAACTTTCTGTCTGCTCTCGCTTCAAAATGCATAGAGTGACCAGTCGAAAGCTGTCCAAGCAACAATGAGCAATTGTATGGCCAGTAGTGTGCACATAGCATCAGAATTAAAAAGGCAGTTTTTTGTTTCTGTGCCTTTAAGACTGATATACATAAATGAGCTCTGTTCTGATTGACTACCTGTATTGGCCTCATTCAAAAAGCTCTCAGAGCTTAAAAAGTTCTTTTAACTTCAGTATGTGAGTGGGCGGAGCTAACAGGCTGTAGGCTAATTAGACAGACTTGTTGATCTTGTTGGTTATCAGACATCATAAAAACAGTTCCAAGCAGGATGTTTTTGTAGTTTAGTTTCCATACATGGACTGCATGAACTGGGCAGTGAATGGTTAAAGTTGAAACTTTAACAATGTTTACATACTGCATCTTTTATTTCAGAAAGTGAGGAAAATTTGTTTTTCAGTGATATGCAACCTTAAAAGTAAATAGGTTAATTATATTTAAACGTGACATTTTTAAACATTTTAATATATGCCAATATATTCTCATATATGTCAATATATTGAAATATATGCACATATGCAAATTAAACATATGTAATAGTGTCACATCTGTCGAAAACATGTGTAAATATATTTCCTTTGCATAAAAGTAAGTAAACTGAAAAAATAGCTTATAATGTCCAAAAGTTTGTAGACGGTTTGTAGCCATCAATGTTTCTTCTGAAATCAAGGGTATTAATATGAAGTTTGTCCTCTTTTACATACACTAAATCATCTGCATTCATTAATGAGAAAGGAGGCTTGGATACTCTTATGTATGTTATGCAGCCCTCATTATAGAATTGTCAAAGTCTTTTGATGCAGTCGATCGCCACTTGCTGTTGAAAAGGATATGCAGTGTTGACTTTGATCGGAATGCTATTAAATGCCTCTTTGACAGAAGACAGCATGTGGCCTTAGGGAGCTGTAAATCTGAATTTTCTTTCAATAACCAGGTGGGCCACAAGGGTTCATTTTGGGTCCGATTTTATTTTGAATTGATATTACTGATATTGTCACAATGGTAACAGATTGTAATGTACATTTATATGTTATATGCTGATGACAATTTTATACTGCTCTGCAAACTCTGAGAATACAGCTGTGGAAACAATTGCAAAGCTTTGTTGATGCCATATAAGTTGTTTTTCATAACCATAGATAATGCATTAAATGCATTGCTGTACAGAAACGGCAGAGCTAGCACTTTTGAGTCTCTGGACTCTCTTTATTGCGGGGATCACTTTATTATGGGAGAGTCGTACAGTACTCACAGTACTCATCATTGTGTGCTGTATGATAGACTTGGTTGGCCTTCTCTGTCTATATGAAAGGAAATTTACTGCTGACTTTTTATTTATAAGGCTCCCATTGGTCAGATGCCACTGTATATTACCTTCATGATCACTGTGAATAATAGACTCCACCGAACCTGATCAAGTGATTTTATCACTTCAGGTCCCTCACACTTTCACTGAGCTGGATAAATCTGCTTTTAACTATGGTGGAGCAGTAAGCTGGGTCATGGAACAGGACACACTGAAGCTCACTTGTTTCTCCTAGGGTTTTTGCTCTGTTTATAATTGTTCTAGTTAATTACTTTTATTATGGTTATTGTTTTTGTTTTAGTTTGCTTTAATTGTTTTCTTTTAGTTGTTTTAAGTTATTTCTATTTTATTATTATTTTATTTCAAGGCTTATTTTACTATTTTAGTGTCTTCTTGTTTTATTTTCTTAGTGTTTTATGTCTATTGCTGGATTTTACTGCCATACAAGTCTATTCTTAATCTGTTTATATTATGTTTACTCCCCCATGACACTTGGCTGCTCTGATAAGAAGAATTCCCCTCAGTGTAAACTGACATTTAGTGCTGACATTTGGTGTTGTCATAACATTTGCATGGGTGAAATGACATAGCACATTATGACAGCAAATTCAGTGAAATTGTGTCCATTTCACAGTTTGTCTCCTGTTTCTAATAGCATTCATTCCACCTACAATTCTTAAAATACTATACTGGACATTTTGATCATGACAAAATATCTTACCTAATTCATTTCTAAAGACAAAATTGTCTGACATGATCCTGCATCAAGGTAGCTTTTCAATGAGAGCTGAAGATTTTGCAT